CAATGAAGATTGCTGGTCAAGGGAGAGAAAATCGTTGCAAACCCACAGGCCATTCACCTCAGTGATCCTTTCCCATGACCAATTCGAACCAAAGAAGATCGATCCTCCTCCTCCTCCCATGCTTGAAATTTTCCATTCGCTGAATTCATCTTCCGGATCGCTGTCTGATGGTTCCCCAAATGCTTCACTCAGTATTACTTTCAGATCTTCCATTCTCTCTATGCTCCGACCTAAAAAAAAATGATGCAATGAGAATATTTTTTTGATAACTTTTCAACCTAACTAAACGACTAATAATTGAATATAGAAGGTGTCACGTGTCAGGATGCAAGTGTATTTCCCAACACAATCTATAAGGGAAAGTTCCCGAAATGGGACTAAAAAAGTTCGAAAATTCCAAAATAGGACTATCATGTTTTTATTCCCAAAATAAGACTAATTACTGCCAAATTTGGAAAATACTGTCATGTTTGAAGTCTAGTACTGTCAAAACATGGCAGTAATTAGTCCTATTTTGGGAATAAAAACATGGAAGTCCTATTTTAGAATTTTCTAACTTTTTTAGTCCCATTTTGGGTAATATCTCAATCTATAAATTAGAGCAACTCTTCCACATGGGGATGAAAGTACTACGGAGTAATAAAAAGTCAAATAAAGTTTTCTACTTTTACCGAATTTTGACATAAATACATTCATTTAGAATGTTTTTATTTGGACCGTAATTTGCTGGTCTTGTCTGATCTGATATGATTTTATATGGTCTAGTCTTGTTTCTTTGTATTTTTTAAAACTATTCAAGTCTGGTCTGATTTGGTCTGTTCTGGTCTGATTTGGACAAATTACAATCCAAGTAAAAACATCATCAATAAAAGTGTCATATAAATACATCTATCTATAAAAAACAATCGAATGATTTAAAATGGCCCGGAGTACTTATTTAAGCCAATTTTGACCAAATATTTCACGTCTGTCTTATAACCTATTGTAAAAAGATTACCAGATGTACGCAAAAATCGGGATTGAGAGTTTGTCAACAGGTCGTTAAGATTTTTATGATTGCTTTTTATGAGTAGAGGTATTTATATGATTTTATTGACTCATAATAGTAGAAGACTTCAACCAAAACCGAACCGAAACAAATCGAACCAATCAAACCGTGATTTCAAGTCTTGGAGTGTAAAACCGAACCGAACTTTTTATTTTGATTTTATATTTGGTTTTAGGTCAAAACAGAACAAGAAGAAACCAAATCATCCCTGATGTGGGACAGACAACTCGTCTCCGAACAGACAACTTATTTATGAGGGACGTACAAGTGTAGAAATTTTGTATTGTATACTTAGCTCCAGTCGTTTAAGTTCTATCCTTGCTTCTTGTCACAAACTAAAACTTATCCGTTGAGTGGGGGCCAACACATTTATTTTATAGCCTATTTTTTTTTTATCATCAGTTCATGACTTGCGTTCTTCAATTGTCTACGGCGACCGCTCTCGCTTACCTCCTTCTCGCCATCTCTTATACGTAGTATTTGGATTCGCCAGCCACGTCTTTCATTCTCGCCGCGAGCAGCCCAGCTGGTAGGCCTTCGTCACTTTATTTGTTTTTCATCCATACTTTCTCTTACGTTTATCAATCTAATTTTGAAATCTGATTTGTGTTTTCACAATCCCAAAATATAATTGCTAGTCATATACGATAGTACTCCGTATATATTTATTTTAATTGTAGTTACATTCCAATTTCTAAATGTAAACGCATATATCTATTGACCGACTAAATCTACGGAAGACGGAAGAGGCCGAGACCACCAACCTTGAGGCTGCCGACTGTCGACTAGGGAGCAGCCGCGAGCACAGAACCTCAGAGTGGAATTCGACCTTCACGGCTTCAGGTAACCAAGTCTTCTATTTTTTTTTACTTCTATTCATCTTGCCGCATTTCCTTCTTACTTTTCATAGTTATTTAATTGATTACCGATTTACCTTTTAGTTTCCCTTCAATTTTTATTCTTAGTCGGCTGTCAGGCAGGGACTAGGCCAGTAGGGTGTATTGTTGTATAATTTGTATTTGTATTAAAATAATAAAATTATAAATGTATGTGTATATGCATAACTCATTATGACACTAACTGAATAAGTATGATTGTATAATTGAAATCGATAGAAGTTATCCTCGATCAATCATGTCAGAAGATAGATTATCAAGTTTGATTATGTGATCAATTGAAAAAAATGTTAGCTACTCTCAATGTTCTAAAAGGCGCTAGGGGCTAGTCGGGCACCAGCCTAGGCGGCTAGGCGGACGCCTAGTCGGGGACTAGTCGGGGACTAGTCGGAGACAAAGAAATTACATTTTTATCTATGTTTTTGCATAAATATGATAAGTAATATTATATTTTTGTGTGTATAAAATACATATATTCATATACATTAACAAACATGAATGATAGAATTATCACATTTGATCATATGTAGTATATGATAACTAATTACTTAACTTCATTATGTTATAAATATAAACAATGATGAAATTTAGGTATATATAGAAACATATATAGTTTTATCTTAATTTACAACTTCATTTCTTTGAGTGGCTAAACCTAGGCGGCCCATTAGGCGGGCAATTAGGCGCCATAGGTGGTCGACTTATTCACATAGACGGAAAACCAATTAGTCGGAGCGTCTAAAAGAAAATCGGGGCGCCTGGTCACCGCCTAGCGCTGAGGCGGGGACTAGTCGGACGCCTAGAACGATTTTTAGAACAAAGGCTACTCTTGATAGTAGTGATGTTCTTACCAATTTTGCTCTTTAAAAAACCAAAACAATATGTTACTGACATATTCATGTACTTTTTATCATTTTTGGATTGTTTACTTTTGAAGATTTACTCTCTTTACTTTAATACTCCGTATAGAGTAGTATATGATATCATCATCATTACCTCAGTACCGTAAAGGCTCCCACCAACGGTAGGGTAGGGGTCGGATGTAGGCAATTTTACCCCCGTACTAAAGCATAGAGAGACTAAGCATAGAGAGACTGTTTCTGGATTACCCATGGTGAAAATTGCATCGAAAATTGCATGGACCAACTGATGCTTCATAACAAAGAAGCGCAAACAGTTTAGTGAACCATTTTGCTTTATTTTGTCATATTCCCAAGCAAAAAAATATTGAATCTTTGGATCCATTGCAAATGATGGAAAAAGAGTAGTATACTCGTATGATGTTGAATAGAAAAAATTAAATGAAACATTTACTCGACTGTCGATTGTCTAGGGCCTCATAGATGCCGTAGACAGCCCTGATTGATAAAAAAAGGGATTTGGATTACTTTTTAAACATGTGAATGTCTTTTTACACATGGTTCATGTTTGTGTGCGAAAGACTCATATTTCCTTCCTACCTACCATTCAGGATTCTCAAACTATATGAATTACTCATTGAACATGTAAACGTCTTTTTGACATCCAAATCAATATTCGCATTCCATTTTAGAAAATAATTAAAATTAGTATGTCCACAACAACACCATTATACTTGTATTCAATAAGTTCTTAAACTATTTTTTAAACCATATTCAAATTAATTTATTTAACTATTGCCATTCAAAACCATGCCATTTTTTAGGTGAAATTTTGGATTTTAGATTTCCTTCAAATTATCTCACATCCCATAAATTTACATGGTAAATTTGTTAAAATCTCACTATTTCACAAAAATTATGTACATACAGTCATACACCGTATCATGTTTACAATAATTAATTATAAATCAGTCCCTATATAGAAAATAATTTTTTGAAATTAAAATAGTACAAAAACGCAATAACAGAAATAAGTTCCCTAACTCAGGAGTGAACTAATCAAATGCCTCAATGACCAGCTCTAAGATTTGTGAACTGTGAACCACTCTTGCATCATACTAAGCCAATCTAGAAGCTATTTGCGCCTCACATCTGCTTGACTGTGTCATCTTAAAATCCGGTATAGGTTCAGCTGGAAGCTGCCGTAAGGGGTATCAGTGTGTATGCATCACTTTTAAGGTATGTACTCTGGTGCTTATCTCACTTCATGGGTTTGGATATAGTGTGTGAATGCTTTCTTTGGGTCTTCGCTTGCTAATAAGTCTTTATGATGAAATGGTGATTAAACTATGATTTGAGAGAGCCTGGGCTGATAGCCTGATTGTGAATTAGATTTTTTAATTTTGCCATTAGCGATTCTCTGATTCATTAATTGGCTGATCATATCGTAATTCCTATTAAAGCTGAATTAAGAGGTAAATTCCGTGTAGATTAGGTAATTTTGCTATTAGGGATTACTAGCTTGATACTTTCCTATTTTTATGAAGTAAATTGAGAGTATCATAGGGAGTCTTGGTATATTAATATCCTTTCCTAAAGGATGTTAATTTGATGGCTTGTAAAATATGACAAGATTGTGTGTCCGATGAGTTGAAGAGTCAGAAAAATGTGGAAAAATGTTTTTAATTCGTCATATTTTCAAATCTAATTTGAATTGCACTCACTATTGAAAATTGTTATGGCTCTAACTAAGGCAGAGGCATGTGCTGGAGCGAGGGGCATGTGCTGGAGCGGGAAGATAAGTTCAAAAGTGAAGAAGGAATAATAACAAGCTAATGGGCCGGTTGATTAAATATTAATAGACCATTTACAATTTATATTTTGTTTGAACCCCATTTGTACAATTTGGGCTGTTATTATTGTTATTACATCATATAAGTGAATGAATGGACACGTAGGGAATACAACAAGTATTATCCCTTTTATCTCTCTCTCCTAAATTCTGTTCTCTCTTCTCTCTTTCTATCACTCCCTAACTAACTTCTCGTACGGTATCTTCTTCTCCTTAGACCAATCATCTGATTCATAGCCGAATCATACCATGGTTGGTATAAGGAGAAGAAGATACAGTACGAGAAGTTAGTTAGGGAGTGATAGAAAGAGAGAAGAGAGAACAGAATTTAGGAGAGAGAGATAAAAGGGATAATACTTGTTGTAATCCCTACGTGTCCATTCATTCACTTATATGATGCAGTAACAATAATAACAGCCCAAATTGTACAAATGGGTTCAAACAGAATATAAATTGTAAATGGACTATTACTATTTAATCAACCGGCCCATTAGTTTGTTATTATTCCTTCTACAGTTTTGAACTTATCTTCCCGCTCCAGCACATGCCTCTGCCTTAGTTAGGGTCATAACAAAAATAGCCATCACGGTTTTACTTATTCCATAATTATTTGCATATCATTCCATTGTTTCTTTTCATTTTCCCTCACACTTTCATCAAAGTATTTGACTATTTGTTATTTACATGTCATATTTTAAACTGGATTTTATGTTATTAATCTGATTTCATTGTAATAGGTCGCAGACACAGAGCATGAGCTATAGATGTATATATTGATTGAGAATCGACAGAAAGGGTTAATTTTTGAGTCTAAGCCACAACTCCATTACTGAACTTGTCTCTTATTATTCTATGTTTTGGAGAGTTTATTTGTATGAATGTTTTATGTCATAGTCCCAAGTTGTAAAAGAGTCCTGATTACGTACCTGTTCAGACTGCTGCTAATTGATTACTTGAAGCTGATATTGATAAAGAATTGAAGACCAAGTGTTCCTACTTTAAAGATAAAATGGAGTTAATGACTCATTCTTCACCCTTTTTCCTCCCAAACACTCCTGCTGATGAGGGCCATGCACTAACTTATGCTCTCGTCATCCTCAACCAACGCCTCCCACGATTCACTCCTCTACTCTGGAAGTAGGGTTATTTCTTTCTCCCTCACTTTAATGTTAGAACATTTGCACCTTTCATGTATTGAAACTTATTATTTTATGAGCATGGTGTTCTCGCATTTTGTTCTAGAGCAGCACAGCTACATATTTGCGCTGATGGTGGAGCGAATAGAGTGTTTGATGAATTGCCTCACTTCTTTCCTCATGAGGACGTCTCTGATGTTCGTAAGAGGTTTGTTGCAATTTCAAAAGATCGCGTAAATGAGTAAAAATACATATATTGTTTTGTATAAAATTTACAATAGCCATTTATTAGGTCATGGGTTATTAGGTTATTGTTAATTTGATTTGTTTATTTACATCTTTATTAGCTCCCTGTCTGTACAACTGATCAACTGTACTAGAAAAAGAAATGTGAAGTACTGAAATCCTAAAAGTCATCAGAAAAGGCAAAAAGAGAGGGAAAAATGAACCATTTGCTACTTGTTTGTGACCTATTACTTAATATAACCTGATGTCTTTTTTAGAGTAATGTAGTTTATTTTGAAAGTGCCCCCAACTAGGATTTGGTGTGTGCACTTTGAACATGACAAGGAAATAGATGGAGACGAAATTAAATACAGCATGATCTTGGCTTTATACACTGTCCTGAGATGTGACCACATGAACTATCAGTGGACAATGACTTGTGCTACTTGATGTAATAAATACTACCTTTGTCCCTCGAAGATTGGTACAAGAGGGACTTGTGCAGTTATTAAAAAATTGAAGTTATTTGATTGTTGTTAAATTGTTTGAGCATGGATAACGTAAGAATGAAATCAATGAATTAGAACCACACAAATATTACCAAGTATGGTATGAGAAAAAACAGTGGGATTGGTGAAAAAGGAAAAATGAGACAAAGATAGTGGGACACAGGAAGTATATCTTTATTAAACATTTCTTGTTTCCTAAGATACTCTGTGTTTGCATGATGCAGGTACAAACCAGATGTCATAAAAGGGGACATGGACTCGATCCGAGATGAAGTTCGAGACTTCTATTCTGGCCTTGTAAGTTAGAAGTCACTTTTTTTGTTATATATTGGGCGTAAGATTGTTTGTGTTTCTTGGATCTGCAGGAAGCTTTTGTTCAGTATATGTGGGGCTGTGAGAAGAAATGCTTTGATTACACGAGCATGTGGAAATAAATTCCCAATGAGTGTAGCATTTTGGAGCATTTCCAGTTTACCTTGATTGATGGAGATTTCTTAAATGATGCAGGGATCAAGAATTGATGATGAATCTCATGATCAGAACACCACAGATTTGCATAAATGTATTGCTTATATTCATGACTTGCCCGACCTGAAAACCCCAAATGTTAGTACTTTGACTCTTTGTACTCTTTTGAATCATCTGCAGTATCTCTTTACCTCCTTAGTGTGTATTTAACAACCCTCATTTAGGGTCAGTTTGGTTGGATGTTTGGAGGTCTAAGTATATTTATTGATACAGACACATACATATTAGATTTTATTAAAACGAACTAAATAATAACATAGCATATGATCGTTTAATGTTTTAATCTATGTTTGTTCTCTTTAAAGATATACTAAATGTATTGCTTATATTAATGACTTGCCCTACCTGAAAACCCCAAATGTTAGTACTTTGACTCTTTCTACTCTTTTGAATCATCTGCAGTATCTCTTTACCTCCTTAGTGTGTATTTAACAACCTTTATTTAGGGTCAGTTTGGTTGGATGTTTGGAGGTCTATGTATATTTATTGATACAGACACATACATATTAGATTTTAGTAAAACGAACTAAATAATAACATAGCATATGATCGTTTAACGTTTTATTCTATGTTTGTTCTCTTTAAAGATATACTATATATTAAGATATAGACTAAGCCTTCAAAGTTTTCCTTTTCAAAACCCTCTTCCTCCTCCTCAAAACTGGACTTTAAAGGATGGGTATACACATTCTTTTTTCTGACAGAACTTCTCTGATTCAATTTTCAAACGTAATCTCAGCAGAAAAATCATGAAATGAAGTCTTGGGAGTGATTTGTAGATGACATTAAGTTGGCTGTAGCACTAATTTAGTTTTTCTGAAACTCGTTTAGTTGTTCATACTCGTTGTTGGAGCACTTGGCGGGAGATTTGACCATGAGATGGGTAACATTAATGTTCTCTGCCGGTTTGCGAATACACGAATTGTTCTTCTGTCTGATGATTGCCTCATCCAGCTTCTTCCAAATACACACCATCACGAGATTCATATCAATCCCTCCGTTGAAGGCCCACATTGTGGTCTCATTCCCATTAAAATGCCTTCTGCGAGCACGACAACCACAGGGCTTAAATGGAATCTCGGTAATAATTATTTAGACAAAGCTTGGATTTTTCATCATTTTTAATACAAATCTCGTGATATAAGAGCTTAACCGGGGGGGGGGGGGGGGGGGGGGGCTTAAGAGACGACCCCCCTACAGGTTTTGACTACATGATAATGTGTATGGCTGTCTGTTCACATGCTTGTTAGTGTTTACATTATCTGTATTGTATTTTTAAACTAAAGACATTACTAGTAGTAGGAAAACATGGGTATGTGCACAAATAAGAGTATCCTTTTTTTGGTGCTAAACAGAACTTGTTCAATCCTAAAAAGAACTTTGTTAGGGTGAATGAACCTTATTTTTCAGGGGGAAAAAATAATGATGGTCCTATTTGAAGAAGTTTTATTTAACTTATTTTCTCTTGTTCTACATTAAATACATATAAAAGTTTTTGTGTTGTCACCTTATATTGCATGTTTTATAAGATTAAACTAGTTTGCCATGTAATGTTTCCTCCACAAAGCCTTGACTTTATAGTGCTATATAACTTAGTACAAATACATATAAAAGTTTTTGTGCTGTCACCTTATATTGCATGTTTTATAAGATTAAATTAGTTTGCCATGTAATGTTTCATCCACAAAGCCTTGACTTTATAGTACTATATTCATGGTGTGTTTGCTTGTGGAGTTAACGCTGACACTATTGCAATTTAACTTGCAACTCTTAGTGTACTGTTGATTGAATATTTTACCAAACTATGTGAGGGTGTAGTCGTTCAATGTTTGTTATGGATGTGTTCATCATCATCACCCCACTGCCGCAAAGGCTCTCACCTACAGTGGGGTAGGGGGGGGTTCGGATGTACGCAGCCTTACCCCTGTACTAAAGTTTAGTACATAGAGACTGTTTCCGGATGCCTCATGGTGAAAATCGCGACGAAAATTGCATGGACTGACTGCTGCTTCATAACAAGGAAGTGCAAACATTTTAGTGAGTCATTTTGCTTTATTCCATCATATTCCCAAGCCAAAAAATAGCTTTGGCTCCATTGCACATGATGGAAAATTTGTTACTGATGTGCTGAATGAAAGTATTTCCGTAAAGTTTTCAAATTATTATGCTAGGGTGTTTATGACTTAATTTGTAAATTTTATGTGTTAGGTGTAGACTATATAATAAGATGTAATAAAGTAATGTAATGAAATACGGAGTAATATATTTTTAATGTGCGTTTTTCGTTACATATCTGAATTATCAGATTATGTTGTATTACATTCATTACGTCTACATAAAATACAAATGTGTCGTTAATATTGTCCATCTTTTGTTCTTCTCTTTTTATCTGGCCTTTTTGCAATTTGCTCCTTCAATTGCCTAAAAACCTTGTTATTGTCTTTTCAGCTAATAGTGAAATGAGATTTGGGGGTTTAGTCAGCACGTCAAATATTGTCAAAGAATCCGTCGTCACTGTCCAGTCTGAATCTGATCTGCTGTGGACAATCTCTATTAAACAAGATATGAACATTCAATGAGCTTTTGCTGTGCATAGCACAAATCACTTTGGCTTCAATACTAGATAAAGATGTTAATGCTGTGTTTTCCTATTGTGGGGTTGTCCTTTCCACATTGGATTGTTTGTTTTTCCCATAAATCCAGAATTTTGGTATGTTGGAGCATTTCAGTTTTATAATTTCTGAAAATTGAGCATTTGGCATGCCTTGGAGACCCCCCCCCCCCCCCCCCCCCCGGAACTGCCCACATGGAAGACTGATGATGCGTGTGTGGAACTGGTGTGTATTGATTCAGGAAAGTGCAACAAATGCTGGCATGTAAACTTAGCCACCACGACCATTCGTCTGCAACGTTCAGTGGAAGGGGTGAAATTTTGTAAAAGGACCTATCAATTATTATGGTGCATATTGCATAATATGAAGAGTGTCTTCTGTTAATATAAGTAGTATGTTATATGTCCTATTTTTGACCAAGTTTTGTGCTATGTTAGAACTGAGAAGAGCTTTGGGGATCGTGAGTTGCTTGTTAGACACAAGGTTATGTGTGATTCTGTTGTAATCTCTATCCAATTTTTTATTTAATGTTGAATTAACAATTCTCGCGACCAAATTCCCGTCACTGCTATTATGCTACAGAGTACAATCTAACCTGATATAGCATGCAGTGCCAGTTCCACATTAATGTCAAACTGATTCTCGTTATGCGCAAAGATTTATTTATTAAATGTAATTCACCGGATCATTGATTGTTGACTCAAAAGACCATGTTGATGAGAGTGATAGTGTGAACTTTAGCATTGATTTATTTGTTAGCTTTAAATACTCCCTTCTTTAACACTCCGTACTAGAGTACTTGCCTACTTGGTAACAGAGCTACCCGTCGATCGTCGATCAACCGTCAGGCATAGTTGGTAAACAGCCCCTACTTCGGTGAAGGGGTGCAAGTAAAGTCTCGCAGACTTCCGCAGTGTGTTTCCATGGCGGCGGCGGCTACTTCTGTCTTTCTCGGTTACAAGCCACTCCAGGAGTTATCTATCAAGCCGCCTTCTCTGTCTTCGATTAACCTTGGGAAGAAGTTGGATTTCTAACGATTACGTAAAGGGATCGTTACGACCTCTCTGTCTAGGGTTGCTGCAAGGTAATCGCTAGGTTGGATTTGTCCGCTATCGGGCCTATCGGCTTTTGTCGAGGAGCGGGGCGGGGTTTTTATGGCCAATTGTTGGAATTGGAGAGTCTTCTCTAGTGGTCATCTTCCTACGAGTTAGGGTTTCGTTTCTTTCGCTTTTGTCATCGACGAAGAGCGGCCTTCAGTAGGTTTCGAATTTTCGATCGTGCAAGCAGACTTGGGATCAGGGATGCAACGCTTTGACGGAAATGGCTTGACTTCTGCTGTTGTTTCCTGTCAAAGCTCGAGTGTTGACAGAGAAAATGTGGATAAGCTGTGGCAAAGTATGTTTTCGATTTAGCAGCAAGGGATGTCTTTAAAGATTCTCACTTTTCTTTTTTGAATGTCTCACTTAAGGGTTTTGACTTTTTATTTTGGGAAACAATTAACACTCTTAAATAATAATTTAATCATCAAATATTAAAAATAATACTTTTATAACATTACAATTATCATCAATAACGCATTATATTATATACTCATCAAAATTATATCTAAAAACATATTCGGATTAGCATATTTAATTATAGTTTAAATAATCGTGTCACTTTATCATGAGAACCTTTAAAAGGGATGAAGGTAGTAATTTTTATGAGAATGCCCTTGCTGCTTCTACCCTCTTCTACATGAGGTGTATTTGTGTTTTTTGCTTACTTTTGATCGAGAAGGTTTGAGATATTATAAATAAGATGTTTGTAATAAAATCAACATTGTTTGAAAAAAATTGATTTTGAAAAATTAAAAGGTAGACTTAAAAAAATAACTCCTACTTTAGATATTTACGAGTACTTTAAAGTGTCTAATTTAGATTTAGATAGAAACACATTTCAAAAGGATATTTTTAGTTTATTTAAATCTGAGGCTTGGTTGCTTCAAAATAAGTTTTTTTTGGCTAAAGGGTCAAATAGGTACATGAACTAACTTAAAGTGTTCAATTAGCCCCTCATATAGGAGGTTTTGCCCGGTCATCGCCAATTGGGGCGGTTCCCGGTGGAATTTTTTGATGAAATTTTTTGAGCATCTTCTTCATTAAGTCTAGTTTACCCATACCAAATTTCAGCTAAAAATTAAATTGGGAAGGCAGTCAAATTATTTTCCGAAATGTACTGTGTTGTTTAACTGCAGAGTTATCTTCAAAAAATCATTTGATTGCCTTCCCGATTTAATTTTTAGCTGAAACTTGGTATGGGTAAACTAGACTTAATGAAGAAGATGCTCAAAAAATTTCATCAAAAAATTTCACCGGGAACCGCCCCAATTGACGACGGACGGGCAGAACCTTCTATATATTGGGCTAATTGAACACTTTAAGTTAGTTCATGTACCTATTTGACCTTTAGCCTTTTTTTTCAAATTAAAGCAAAACATTTCAGTAGTCACCAGTAAGGCATTTCAACAGGCTCTTGACTTCCAATTTCTATCCGCGCTATCTTCCTCAATTCCTCATCAGGTATTTCATCTTCCACCTCCATGCCTACATCTTCTTTCTCTCTTGCTTCAACTCCCGTAGTTCCTTCCATGCCAAATGTTGTCAAACAAAAAATAATCATTGTTTCCGGTTTCCAGATATGAAACACAGTTTTTAGTTGTTCTTTTAATGAATTTTTAGATCCTCTCTAAGCAAATTCAAATCTGAATTACCACTCTAAAGATCTTCTATTGGCCTTATATTTGCGGATATGTGAGTTCCCCTTCGCAGGAGTTCTTAAGCTATGTATATGTATTAGCCCGGAGTATATCCATTAGCGCCCCTGTGCTTCAGTCCGCTCAAATCGTGGCAGGCTGTTCTGGAACGCAGAAACGCCGGAGGAGGGCTTTGGTGAAATTTTTTAACTTTCCCCACTTATAGGAATTTTTTTAACTCCAATACTCCATATTAGGTTCATGCCGTTCAGTCTTTCAGAGCCGAATTGTTGGGAATTCAAAGAGTAAATTCACAGAATCCTCTAATAGATTGGCATCTTGGATTCTTGGACTCTTCGAGATTGCTGATTTGGGGATTTGACCTTTCCCCTTCCTTTGTGGTCTTCGTTTGCCTACTTCCGGCTGCCAATTGCAAGTACAAATAGTATAGTAGCTGCTTAATTTATTAATTACATTTAGGCCTTGACCCGTAAGTGGTATTGTGGTAAGTGTTATTGTTTTATTGTTAGATTTTAGGCCTCCTTGTTTTGTTTAAGGTTTAATCAATTAATTATTTACTTGTCTAGCCGTTTTTACTAAATTGAAAGTTTGTAATTATTTTCTTAAAAACTACTACCTTCGTCGCATTTATATTGTCCCGGAAGAGGGTGACACGGTTAAAGTGGGTTTGTGTGGTTGATATTAATTGATAAAGTAAGAATAAAGTAAGAATGATTTAGAGCCACACAAACTTTTCCAGATATGGTATGGGACAATTTAAGTGGGACTTCCCGAAAAGGTAAAACGGGACAATATAAATGGGACGGAGGGAGTAATAGAGATGCTTGGTTTTTAGAATTCTGAGGTTTTCTATGTGACTATGTCTATATATACATTTTTGACACGGGGTGGTGGGTCTTCAAAAATACGCTCATATGAAATTTAATCCAAATGATATTGCGGTTGATCCAGGGCCACGTACACCACCTATCAATGATTTTGACAATTTCGACCAAGTTCGAAGAGAGTGTTTAACTAGAGGTCCTTGGTGATATACGCAAGAAGGGGATTTTTGCAAACATTGAGAATGAAGCAATTTTGCAGCGCTTTCAACGCATGCAGACACACAGAACACAATTGTTTCAGCTCGTTTCTTCTGTTAACAATGAATACTTCCCTAGTGTACACGTTTTGACATATTATGTATTTTTTTATACACTTATTAAAATTTTAGTGTCTTGAGTTTAAACATTATTTTAGCCACCCCTTAAATTCTGTTCTGGTTCCGCCACTCAGTGTATCTAGCACCACTATGCTGCTATGCAGAATGCAGATGCCATGTTGGAGTTTTCTTATAAGTGTTTGCTATGTTCGTTTTTTCTTACTCTAGTTTCTAGAGATATCATATTCCGTAAAATCCCGTACTAAGGAAAATATGGCATACTACTTAAGAAATGATTTAGTACTTGTGGAGTAAATGCCCTAAGTGGTAGATGCCAGTGCCAAATAATATTGGAGGACAAGCATCGGAAGACCTGTTCTAAGGCTCAGAGCCATGCCAACTATGAGCCCCCATTTTTAATTATCTCTACCGTGACTGCTCACTTTCACCCGGACGGACCTAAGAGTAACAAATACAAAATGTGGAAGAAAAAGGCCAAGTTTGAAACCAATGCCTGGAAGTAAAGTAGAAGGCTAAAGGACTTTCATTCAGTGCCCAAGAAGAAGAGGAAGATGAACAACACCCTGGCAGCTCTAAAATCTCATGAATTGAAGAAGTGAAAAATGAAGGGTAGCGGTGTATTATTGGCCTTTGTGGGCCATGTTCTAAACACTATGTGATCGAAGTATGCTTATTTTATTTTTCTAATTATTAGTTAAAGAAGTATCATGTGTGTTTTGATGTAGAAAAATGATGGGCTCATTTATTTAAATGCCTACACATACCTGTATACACGTGTTATGTAAGTGATCATTCAAATTTATGAGTTTCACGATTTTGTAGTTTGTACAAATGTTATATTTGGCTTTATTACTCTATAAATGAAGCTCTATTAAATTTTCACTGAAGCTACTAAAACCTGTATTTGAATGGACAAAGTTCATTGTTTGAGCACTCATTTTAATAGAACGAACAAGACTTAAAGTTCTCCTCTACTATAGCTAATTTTTCCGTTATCCACAGCAGCAATGTCTTTGGGATCTGACCATAAAGCCACCATCATAGATGGCAAAGCAATAGCGCAAACCATTCGCTCTGAGATTGCATCAGAGATACAAGTCATGTCAGCAAAGTATAGCAAGGTTGGTCTTATGTCCCTAAATTTTTACTATGCTATTTCTACCATTTAAGCTGAATTGCTTTTTAAATGCGAGAACATTAGCTTTTGGTTTTGGGTAAATGGTAGCATTTTTGGGATGACTAATTGTATAATGTATAAGTTCTTTCTCATTCAAGCACTTAAAAGTGTTTTTTAGAGACTTATAAGTTATAACTAGTGTTTTTTCCTAAATAAGCATTAAAAGTACGTTTTTACTGATACAACATTTTTTCCATTTTCCTGCCAATCATTTCTTCTTACAGAAGAAATGAACCAGGAGCATCTTTCAATTGATTGGCAAAAAAGGTGTTCCTGGTGTAATTGAGCCACAAACATCTTTGTGATTGATATAAATTGTTGCATTTATGAACTGTTATATGCAGGTTCCAGGATTAGCAGTAGTCATTGTTGGGAATAGGAAGGATTCTCAAAGCTATGTGAATATGAAGAGAAAGTCTTGTACCGAAGTTGGGATAAAGTCCTTTGACATTGACCTTCCTGAGGATGTACATGAAACTGAACTCATTACAAAGGTTCATGAGCTCAATGCTGATCCTGATGTACATGGTTGGTCAGTTATGAGCATATTGTTACTTACTCCTGTTTAAGATCTGTTTGGTAA